TTTCCCCAGACTGAGAGGGCTGCGGAGGACAAAAGACAGGAAAGGAGCTCGGGAAGCATCTCCAACACCATGTTCGAAGGGTGAAACTTTAGTTAGATAACAAGACAATAAGCCATTCTTAGGCTGAATCCTCATAAAAGGTCAACTCCTGCTTGGATAGACAGCCCAGTTTTATTCATTGACACTGAGCTATAAGAGAGTAGAGCTTAGTTTGGTTTTCCTTTTTCCCCCTTTGCTCCTTGCTCATTGCCCCTCCAAAGGCAATAAATATTTGTTAAGTGAACACATAGACTTGACAACTTCAGCTTGGTGTTTCATAAAAAAACAAAGATTAAACTCTTTTCATAGCGCCTGAGTAATATGATTTTTTTTAAAGTGTTTGAGAGTTTAAAGCACTTTTAACAAAATTTAATATGTATTTGAGAAACCACTACATGCCAGGATGCTTTAAAGCCCGCCAAAGACAGAAAATTCATTAAAAAGTTTACATAAAGAACCCAACTGATACTAAGAGTCTAAAATAAGTAGGATCATTTTCCTAAACTTAAAAAAAAAGAACATTATTAACTACCTACCCCAAGTGTTCCTTGAGTTCAAAAATTCTATATTCACTAATACCGAAAATGTTTATTTCTGTAAGAGGTAAGTACAGCTTTTTATGTCTCTAAGACATAAGAATATATTTTTAGGCTGCGCCATGATTATTTTTAAAGTATTTCACTGAATCAGAAAATCTAGGTTTTTTTTTTTTCTTTTTTATCACAGCTCCAAATCTGAATTCACATGAAAGACAGTAATGGCTATTGGCTTCACAGTTAAATAATGCACAGGTTTTGAAAACTAGTAGGCATGGTACAGAGCGCGTTTAGCTAACTGCAGTGTTTCTGAAGGGGGTCATTAAGACCCACTACTTCTTACTCAAAAGAAGTAAGATGCCTCAAAGCATCTGCCATTTTCTCAGCGCCATTTATTCTTGCTCTCACTGAATAAAAACAGCACTCACAATTTGATAACTGCGTTTAAACTATACAAATGTTATGACAGAGCCGAGAAAAGTGTTAGAAGACCTCTAAGACCTTTCTACTCACAGCAGACTTGCCTAGGAAATGGCAAAACTGAATTGCGAAGCTGGCGAGTATCTAAGAGGTTTGAACGGCTCCAGCAAAACAGACCCTCCCGGGACCTAAGACTCTTTTCTGACCAATGAACAGTGGGACTTGTGTTAATTAACTGTGTGGGGCCTTGACACTCATCCTGCCCTCTCCAAGGTGCTCACTTCAATCCTTAACTGGCACAACTACAGTCAACTTCTTCCTGGCACATAACAAACGTAAACTGTCCCTCTAACAGAACCATTTGGCAAGGCTGCTCACTTGTGTGTTTCCTCATCTGGCAAGTAAATCAATGCCTTTGCATTTTCAGTCACTGTGGTGGTTTTCTTTCCTTCAACAAATTTAAAGTGGAAGTTACGGCTGTAGTTGGCCTTATCATGTTGTTTTCGTGCCTTTTTTTTTTTTCCAAAACATGGTTTATCACTTGCTACAATTTGCTGTTTTCCAACACAGAATACATGTCCTTACATTTTTATTAGCTTATCGTTTGAAAGTACCAAACCAAAAAAGAAAGTTATGGGAAAACCATAAATCCTATCTCCAAATCCTGAATGCATGAGAAGATAGAAAATTGTAACAAAATAAGTCTGATGAACTTCTGGAGACTCTATAAGTAATACTTTTACACAGAAAGGGATAATAATGACACTATTATAATGGAAAGCTTTTAATATACTACAAATTATCTGAGTGATGTTACAATGTTAATTTCTTTATCCAAAATTAGGAAACATTTAAATAGAAGGCACTGGAATTTCTAATTAGTTTCCTCTAGTTCTTTCCTAGCTTTAATCCACATCCTGTGACCCCTAAACCCCACCTGACTGACTTCTACACTTGTGCTCACACCCTGAGCAAACGCTACCTCCTGTCGTGTTTCCTGACCCGCCTCAAACTTCTGGCTCAACCAACTGTTCTCCAAGTACGTCACACTCAGGTCTAATACAGCATTTGTCATGCTTTATTCTGGTTAATTACACACGTCTGCTGTTCGACTAGGATTTTGTGTTTCGTAAGAGCGCAGGCTTCTGTCTGATTTATCTTTGGATCCCTCATAGCATCGGGCATAGTTCCTGGTAAGTACTGTCTTGGTGATCATTAAATCTGCTTGCACTGTATGAAATTTTGTTAGAAGATAGTGTCATATATGATGCCATGGATTTTCTTAAGCTCCACAACTCTGCTGTGATGTCCTGCCTGAATTTCATACGTTAACGTATATAATGTGCATGTGTGCGCCTGTGTGCGCGCGCGTGTGCTTACAAGTCTGAAATTTGAAGGTACTGTAATTTATAGACAGCCATCAATAGTTCATTACATAAATCACTCAGCATTTAATTAATGAATGACATGTGATCAGCAAACTTCTCATGTCCCATAAGTGATTATATTTGATGAAAGAAATGAAAACAAAATCATAATTTAAAAATCTGGCATTTTTCTTTGTTAAAAAATATTAATAGTAATCCAGGACACACAGAAAGCATTAGATAAATGAGTAAATTAATGAATAACCGGGCAATTCTTAGGCCTCATAGCTTTCCTTACTGATATAACTCCCCACGATACAAATTCTAATTTCTGCTTACTTTGGATTGAAATAGCTTTAAGCATTCATATATTTAATTAAGCACAATGTTTCATGAGAGAAGAAAAAGGGGGATGATCTAAAAATAGATTAGAGATCTTCTTTATAAATGGATTTTGATGGATCTAGGTTCGAACCTTAGCTCAGTCACTGAACTGGTTGGTGACCTTGGTTACAAAAAAAAATCTAATCTCCCTGAACCACAGAAATAAAGATTATATTGAACATGGTGAGCATTAAATAAAACAACGGATGTCAAGTTGTAGGCAGAGTGACTATTACACTGAGGCCCTCGATTAATTGAGATCTTTTAGTCATTATCTCTCTTTGTCTGTCACATTCTGGGTTTGGGGCTTACATGCCTTTGGTCCCAGGGAAGACTGATGTAGAATTTGTGAGAGCTGCTGAATCCTCACTAGGCTTGAGGGCATCTTCTACTTTGGTCAAGTCAATGGAGGCAATAACTAAGCTTACACAGCAGCTCAGAGAGGTAGACACAAAACCAAAACAAAGTAAACCTTGAGGAGAGCAAAGTAGGCAAGAGGTGTGAGTGGAGACAAGCTTTACTTCCCTGTGTCAGCCAGAAACCCAGCAGCTCGTTGCTTAGTTACTCACCCTGACTCGTAACCTGCTAGAGCTGGGAAAGAATGGCAAGGAATCCTGGCTTCGCTAGTAAGAAACCCAGGCTTAGGGGCAAAATAACTGGTCTGGCGGCCCACAGCTGGTTGGGGCTATATCCGGGACAGGACCCAGCTTTCCTGACGCTCAGTCCAACACTCCCTCTTCTAAGCAGCCACACCTCTCCTCGCCTGCTCAGGGGAAGGAGGTCAGGCCAGCTCGGACACTGATCGGCTACAAGTGCAGAAATCTCCCAGGGGACACATACCGAAACGCTCACAGGCATGCACACTTCTAACTTCTAACGAGGGCCTGCTCTCCCTGCCCCTCGCCCCCGTCCGCTCTCTTGCCCTAGTGTCTGGGGCTAGGACGTGTGCGATTCTCAAGGGCTCTTACTCTCCCTCTGGCCACGGGCCTGGATGAGAAGCCAGCCGCGGGTCTGCTCTGCGTTCACTTCCCATGAGCGCCCCGGGATCACGCGTGGCCTTTGAAGGCGGCGAGGCATCCCCAGCAGGAGGCAGCCGTGCCCATCTTCCCGCATGGGCCTCCACAGGCGGGCAGGGCCCACGTGTTAATAACCACCCCTGACAGCAAGAGCCGCTGTCACCTCATAAGGGCCCGCTCCGCGGGGAGCTGTGTGCAGAGTGATTTACATGCATTACCTCCTTCAATCCCCACATCACCTAGAGCGTAGGGCTTACTTTCTTCATTTTACAGATTTATAGATGAGAAAGTTAAGGTCAAGTGATGTACCCACGGTTATGCACTGCAGGGGCAGAAATGACTTTCAAACACAGACGCCACACTCTTCACAGTTATGCCACCACCTTTCATTTTGGCAGAGCAAACAAAGAGTGTTTTCTCCAGTTCAGGGGTCTTTAAAGCAAATGCCCTCCTTTCACGAACAGCTACACCTTCCACTAAGGAAGCCCAGTTCTGAATCATTTAAAGGCATTATTTTTCTCACACACATATCAAACCTTCTGTAGGGAAGAGAATCAGTAGAGGCCGGGGAAAGACTTGAATTCCTCTTAAAGGTTAGACTTTGCCGTTTATACTGAGGAAAATTTAGTTATTCTTTATTCAGAAATGACTCTATCTCCACCTGTAAACGGCTTTCCTGAAAGGTCCAGGAGCTCTTGCTAAAAAACAAACAAACAATGATTTTCTTTTTAAAAATCCATATGGAGGGGAAACGGTTTCTTTTATGTTTCTTTTTGTTAAATGGGTATATGGGAAGAAATAGGTCAAAAATGTATAAGCGAACATCCTCTCTCTACATGCGTGTTGTGTGTGCATACGTGTGCCAGAATATATATACTGTATACAGCCTTCTCACTAGAACACCTGTCACTCTGCTTCGTTAAAGCCAATGCTCCGTAACTTCATTTGGCATCTGTTAGCGCCAACTAAATTACCAGCTGAGGTGCTGGCGTCTGTGAGTTTTACGTGGGATGAGACGGGCTGCTCTCAGTAAAGGGGACGTCATCTGATAAACCAGGGATCCACAGACACTCAAGTCATTTACCAAAAGAAATCAACTTTCGTATGTAATTGGATTTTTGGTTCTTAGTTCCAGGAAATAAGTCACCTTATGGTTAGAGGACAGTGATGTTAAATGCGTTAGTTAAAGCTCTTTATGACACACGCATTACCGGTTTCCCTGGCGTGGCTTATCTCACCTTGATCTTTTGGTGGTACTGATGAAGCACTCTGCATTATGATGTCTTTGACTTGAACAACGATTCACCTAAAAATAACCAAGCACAAATAATAATTAGAAAATAATTGAGATGCCATGTTAACACAAACGAAAAATATAAATTACAAGCTTTTTAGTTATAACTATATGAGTAATAAGGAATGGACTGAACTATTGGGAAACTGAAGTTTTTATTTTCCTTCTAGCTTTTATACAGACAGGCTTTTACTGAATGCACTGGTGTGGGCTTGGAGAGGGAGCAATGACACACCGAGAGGGCCCTGTATCTGCCTCTCCGCCCTTGTAGGGTCAGGGAAATGTGCAAGCGGGCAGTTAAGGTTCCCTAAAAATGCCCTGCCTGATAATTATGTTTTATAGATTCTGCTTAAGAAATAACTAAAATGTTTAACAATATAAGTAAAGCAGTATAACTGCAATATAATCATTTGATGAAACATAATTCAGTCATTAAAATGCAATTTTGAAGATTCCGTCGCAACATGGAAAATGGTGATGATACAATGTACTGGATGCACACATCAAATGACATACACACGAGGATGACAACTATACAAAAAACGAAGGCACAGAAAAATGCAAGACAGGAAATATGTTAATATGGATATTAGCCTTGTTCTTGGTGATATAATTACAGGTGTTTCCCCTTCCATTTTAGCTACTTTCCAAATTGTCTAGAATACGGGGTTCCATATTAATAAACTATTTGAATGTATAAGACAATTAAAGTCCTTATTTATTAAAGTAAATATTTTTGTAAGCCTTCAAACATGGAAGTGTTTCTAAGCACGACACCAAAGACAGAAGCCATTAAGGTAAAGACTGATGAATTTTTCCATGGAAAATTTTAAATGTTTTTAAAATAGAAAACTAGGTAAAATAAAAGGGCATGACTTCTGCTTCCAGCCAAGACTGAACAACAGAGACCAGGTTTGCCCTCCTTCCTGAAACAACCAAGACACAGACAAAATACGCGAAACAATATTTCGGAACACTGGACCTCAGGTGACAAAGACTGATCTTTGAGAGACAGGAAACAAATGAGGTGAACGCTATCATCCACAGTGCAGGAAGGGAGAAAGCTGGTGGAAATTCCCAGAGTAATGAAGAAAAGAGCTGGAGAGAGAGAGAGAGAGAGCAATGAATAGGGTTCCCATCAAGTATTCACAGGAATACTGTCTGTTCTTACAAGTCAGACTGAAAAAACTCCTAATTCACAGAACGCTGGGCACAGTACAAAGAATAATCTTGCTTTAATAAAGGGGAAGAATTGGTCCTACATCAAACATTTCTTTGGTTTCACAAAACAAATCTTAAAGCAAGACCTAAAAGGATCAAACCGTTTCCAAGTGTCTTACCTGTGTATTTAGAACAAGGCTCAAGAAGATTTATAGAAAGACAAAAATATCCATCACCCAAGAAAGTAAAAGCCAGAGTGTCTGACATCCAATAAAGAAGTATGAGCAATACAGAGAGGCAGGAAATATGAGCCATAGCGTAGAAAATAATAAAAACTGACCCTGAACTGACACAGATGTTAGGATTAGCAGACAAGATCATTAGATGTATAACGGTATTTCGTATGTTCAAAAAGTTTAGACAGGAAAGACATTAAAAAAAGACCCAAATAAAATTTCCAGAGATGTAAACTACAATATATAAGGTAAAAAAATACACTGGATAGGATTATCAGCATATTAGGCATGTCGGCAGAAAATACTAGTGAACTTGCAGGCATAGTAATAGAGACTACCCAAAATGAAACTCAGGAAGAAGAGAGCAAAAGAAAAATGAACAGATCACCAGTGGGCTCTAGGACAACTTTAAGCAGTCTAGTGTATCAGTAACTGGAGAAGAGAGAGATGGAAAGTCAGAAAAATTATTTTAAGAAATAGTGGCAGAAACTTCCAAATTTGAGTAAAGCTATGAACAGATCCAAAAAGCTCAAACAACTTAAAGCATAAGAAACATGGAAACTACACCAAAGCATATCATGACCAAATGGCTCAAAACGAGTGAAAAAAGGAAAGATTTAAAGTGAGGCAATGCAAGTAAGAAGACATTAGAGCAGCATCTTTAAAGTACTTGAAGAAAAAAAGATCTGTAATCTAGAATTCTATGTTCACAGAAAGTATCTTTCAAAAATAAAGGGGAAATAAAGGCATTTTTGTATACACAAAAGCCAAAGGAATTCATCACAAGCCCACCCGCACTACAGGAATGTTAAATGATGCCCTTTAAGTAGAAGGAACATGATATTAGATTAAAATATAGATCTATATACAGAAAGGAAGATTTCAACACTAGAAATCAGAACTACATGATAAGCATGTAAGGCTTTTTTCTTAATAAAATCTCTTTAAAATATAATGGTTTAAATAAAAATAATTAACACTGCATTGTGGGGATTATAACATATGTAAAGATAAAATGTATGAGAATTTCAGGACAAACGTAGAGAGGGGAGAAATGTAAGTATACTATTGTAAGGTTCTTTAGACTACAGGTGAAGTGGTATAGTATCACTGGAAGCTAGATTATAAGTTAAACATGTATATTATACACCCCAAAGCAACAACTAAAATCACGAAACAAAGAATTTTATCTAATACGCCAACAACAAAAAAATGGAATCATAAATATACTCAGTTTTCAAGGGAAAACAGGAAAAGAGAACAAAGAATAGGTAGAACAAATGGAAAACAAAAAGCAAGATGATAGATTAAAACCTAAACATATCAATAATCATATTAAACATAAATGATCTAAATATCCCAATTAAAAGATGGATTGGACAAAAAAGCAAGACCCAACTACATGCTGCCTGTAAGAAAGGCACTTTAAATATAAGGACACAAACAGATTACAAGTAAAAGAATGGAAAAAGATATATCATGTTAGCACTAGTCAAAAGAAAGGTGGTGTGGCTATATTAGTATCAGAAAAAGGGGATTATAGAGCAAAGAATATTACCAGGCATAACGAAGGTCATTTCATAATTATAAAAGGACAACTCATCAAAGGGCTATAAAAATCCTAAATGTTTACGTCCCTACTAACTGAGCTTCAAAATACATAAAGCAAGAACTGATAGAACTGCAAGGAGAAATAGAGAATAATTAATAACCAATAATCGATAAAAGAAGCAGACAGAAAATCATTAAGGACTCTGGAGATTTGAATGACACTATAAACCAATTTTACCTAATTGACATTTATAGAACATTCCACCCAATACAACAGAATACACATTGTTTTCAAGTGCACACGAAATATTTATTAAGGCACCATATTCTGGGTCATAAAAACAAGGCTCAATACACTTAAGAGGATTCACGTCATAATGTATATTCTCTGAGCACAATGGAATAAAAGTAGAAGCCAAAATCACAGAAATGTATCTGGAAAATCTCCAAATATTTGTTAACTAAATCACACACCTATAAATAACCTATGGATCAAAGAAGAAATCAAAAAGAAAATTAGAGTGTGTTTTGAACTGAATGAAATGCAAACATAACATACCAAAATTTGTATGATTCCATTAAATCAGTACACAGGGGGTAATTTAGAGCACTAAAAGCATCTATATTAGAAGAGAAGGTAGGTCTCAAGCCTCAGTTTCCACCTTAAAAAATAAAAAAATAGTACAATTAACCCAAAGTAAATAGAAGAAAGGAAATAAGAGATCAGAGAAAAAATAAGTGAAATGGACAACAGAAAAATGGATAAAATCAATTAGATCAAAAGCAGATTCTTTGAGAATATATAAAATTGATAAACTTTTAGCTCAACTGATCAGGAGAAAGAAGACACAAATGACCAGTATCAGGAATGAGAGGTGTCATCACTACAGACTACCACTATTAAAAAGACGTAAGGGGGCTTCCCCGGTGGCGCAGTGGTTGAGAGTCCGCCTGCCGATGCAGGGGACGCGGGTTCGTGCCCCGGTCCGGGAAGATCCCACATGCCACGGAGCGGCTGGGCCCGTGAGCCATGGCCGCTGAGCCTGTGCGTCCGGAGCCTGCGCATCCGGAGCCTGTGCTCCGCAACAGGAGAGGCCACAACAGTGAGAGACCCGCGTACCGCCAAAAAAAAAAACTGGAGCCTGTGCTCCGCAACAGGAGAGGCCACAACAGTGAGAGACCCGCGTACCGCCAAAAAAAAAAAAAAAAAGACATAAGGGTCCATTACAAACAACATTTTGACAATAAATTTGATAATTTAAATAAAATGAACAGTTACCCTGAAAGACACAAACTACCAAAGCTCACTCAAAAAGTGAGCCCTATGTTTTCAATGAAATTGAATGTTTAGTTAAAAATCTTCCCTTAAGGAACTCTAGGCCCAAATGGTTTCTTTGGTGAATTCTACTGAATATTTAAGAAAGAAATAAAACCAATTAATTAATACCAATTATACACAAAAATAATATTTAAGGAAGAAATAATACCAATTATACACAAATTCTTCCAGAAAACTGAAAAGGAGGGAATTCTAAGTATCTAATTCTATGAGGCCAGCATTATCCAGAATCCAAAATCACTCAAGAAGCCACTGGAAGGAAAGAAATCTCCGGACAATATCCCTCATTAACAGAAATGCAAAAATTATAAACAAGATGTTAGTAAATCAAATCCAACAATATTAACACATCCTGACCATGTAGGGTTATCCCAGGAATGTACACGTATTTAACATTCAAAATCAATGTAATTCACCATATTAACAAAATAAAAAAAGAAGAACTATGTGATCATCTCAATAGATGCAGAAAATGCATGTGACAAAATCCAACATTCATTCCTTTAAAAAAAATCTTTTAGAAAAGTAAGAATAGAAGGAAACTTCCCCAACTTGGTAAAGGACATCTATGAAAAAACCTATGGCTAACATCATGCCAATAGAGAAGAAGTGAATGCTTTCCCTCTAAGTTTACAATTAAGAGAAGGATATCTACTCTCACCAATATTGTATTGGAAGTTCTAGCCAATGCAGTAAAGCAGAAAATGGATAAAATGCATCTTCAC